CTGTGGTGTGGTGTGTGTGTGTGTGTGTGTGTGTGTGTGTGTGTGTGTGTGTGTGTGTGTGTGGTCTAATCTGAGGCTACCACAGCACTTCTGAGGAGTCTCGGTGAACACTCCAGATGATAGATAAGTAACTTCTAAACTCAACATTGGAATGCCTAAACTAAGTCACGCTGTGGCTCTTAGGAGAAAAAAAAACCCCAAAAACATATGGTCAAGGACTCGACCCTTGTTTGATCGCTAGAGAGCATGTCAAGGGCTGTAGGTGCTTTACAAAGAAGTTTGGAGGTTCTTTTAAAAAGTCAAACATGCAGCCGGGAAGTGGTGGTTCATGCCTTTAATCCCAGCACTCTGGAGGCAGAGGCAGGTGGATCTCTTAGTTCATAGGCCAGCCTGGTCTACAGAATGAGTTCCAGGACAGCCAGAGCTACACAGAAAAAGCCTGTCTTAAGAAACAAAACAACAAAAATTCAAGCATGGCCTCATTCATTCCCCTACGAAATGCAAGGCCTTGGAGAAACCTTCTGCTAAAGTTCCAGACACAAAGGGTCATATATTGGGGGCTGTAGGATTCCATTTTTGCTTGTTTGCTTTTGGGTTTTTTGTTTTGTGTTTTTGAGACAGGGTCTTGTGGAAACCAGATTAACCTTGAATTTTGTAAGTAGCTGAGGATAACCTTCACCTCCCAAGTGCTAGGATCACAAGCCTGCACCACCCCGCCCAGTTTATGATTTTGTTTATCTGGAGTCCAGCCCAGTTGCACCGTTATAGGCAGATAGCAGATTACTAGAGTCGGGGATGAAGATGGGAAATGACTGCTAATAGGTAAGGGATTTCTTCTGGGAGAGACCAAAATGTTCTAAAAGTCCACAGGGGCTGCAGAGATGGCTCGGTGGTTAAGATCACTCCTTGCTCTTGTGTTGAGTTTGAGTTTGGTTCTCAGCATCCACATGATGCTTCAAAACCATCTGAAACTCCAGGTTCAGGGCATCATGCTTCTTTTGACCTCTGAGGGCACCATGATGCGTATACAGGCAAAACACTCATATACACAAAATAAATCTAAAAATTAAAAAAATTAGGTAGTGGTGATGGTTGCAAAATTCTGTGGTTACAACAAAACTGATTGGATTGTGCACTTTGTTTTCTTTTTTTGCATTGTTGGCATGGAAACCAGAGCCTCTTGCACGCCACTACTCAGCTGCATCCCCAGTTGAATCATCCATATGGGATGTGAACTGCATTTCAGTTTAAGTTATTATTAAAAATCATATCTGTTTACCTTCAGAGAGTCCAGGGAGCTGGGAATCTGCATTTTAAACATTTGTTCAGTTTTTGCCTTTTTGTGATAGGGGCTCAATGTAGCCCAGGCTGGCCCTGAATTCCTGATCCTCTCACCTTACCTATGTCATTCATGTGCTACCAGGCCTGGCTGGGATGCTGGTGATGGCCATAAGGCCTAATATAAGCAGACACTCCACCACTGAGCTATAATCCCCACCCTTCCTTTTTTTAAAATATAATTTCAAGATAGATAAGTTCTCCCTGAATTGCTGAGGCTGGCCTTGAACTTATTGTGTAGTCCATGAAGGTGTGAACTTCTTATCCTCAAGCTTCAGTCTCCCCAGTACTGGAATTACAGGACTGTACCATCAGGCCTGGCTTAGACTGTACATTTAGTGACATTTCTAAGCATTAGTGGAAGGATGATTTACAAGGAAGCATATGACACAATTTGGGTCCCAGACATAGTCACACTGGGAAATGTGGCTTCCTACTAGGTAAAAATTCAGGGCCAGTCTGTATGGTTCTGGAGGGAAACATGCAGTAACTCAAGAGAGGACACAAGTTTCAGGCCCTGGCTTTGTGCTCCACCAACCACAAAAAGGTCAAGGGCAGTATGGGTCAAGGTGGTCCAGGAGGATGGACAAGATTCTACGGGCTGACAGGAGAATGGGCCAGGCACAGAGAGTCAGTAAGGCCTGTGCTGCCTTGTTCTGGAGGCTATTTTCCCATCTTGACTTGGAAGGTGAAATTGAGGCAGTTAGCGTATAGATGGGGGAGCCAAGGCCATTTCTAAAAGCTGGGACACATTCTGATGGGAATGTGGTTCCAGGGGCCGTGGCAGTGATGTGAAGGAAGCATCACAAGAGGAAGAGCCTGGTGATAACGCCATTGGACTGACAAGAAAAAGTTGATTTTGTGGAGCTGTCGAGGTGACTCCGGTGGTAAAGTGCCTGCCATGTGAGCTGGAGGGCCTGAGCTAGGGTTCCCCGAATCCATGTAAAAAGCTGGATGGTTGCACCCACCTGTCACCCTACCACTGCCAGAATGGAGATGGGTGGATTCTCAGATCTCCCTGGCCAGCCAATCCAGTAAACTGGGGAGCTAAGAGCAGAATGGCAGATTCTGTTTTAAAAGTAAGGTGGAAGGGGACTGGAGAGGTGGCTCAGTGGCTAAGGGCACTTATTGCTTTTCCAGAGGACCCAATTTGAGTTCCCAACATCCACATGGCAGTTGACAACTGTTTCTAATGCCAGTTCTAGAGGATCTGATGGCCCCTTCTGACCTCTGCATAAGTGTTGTAATACACACGATACTCATGTAAGCACATACATATACATTATGGAGGAGAGTGGGGGCTTGGTTGGCAGTGTGCTTGCTCAGCCTGTACCAAGTCTTGGGTTTAATCTTTAGCACCACATAAAACCTGGCATGGCAACATACACCTGTAATCCTAGCAACTGGGAGATGGAGGCAAGAGGATTAGGAATGCAGGCTCATCCTCAGTTACATAGTGAGTTCGAGGCTGGTCTGGAGTAGACAAAACTCTTGTTTGTATTATTTATACCTTGTTTGTATCATTGCCATTTATGTTTTACCAGCCTCCAGCTTCACCTTGTATTGTATATACATGACCTTTTTGGGTGGCATGGTAGTTGATGCCTGTAATCTCAGTGTTCAAGAGGGAAGCTGAGGCAGGAGGATTGTTATGAGTTTTAG